ATAACGCCGCCCAAATGTTCATGCAAAGAAAGAAGGCGTAACTTTTATTCTCGCTGTAGTATTGTTGCTGCCGCCATGTCGTGAAGGCACTGTGTGTTTCGTTGTGAAAGCGAAACTACTTTGTTTGGTCTTCCAAAAGAGGACGATATCCGCTTCGTCGTCCCTGGAGCTGATCCGTGCTGGTCGCTGAGGAAACACATCAACTTTCACCGTGGACGAAGCGGAGTTCAGCCCGGGGTCGTCACATGTGGTTGCCGCTCATTCGTCGGATCCGCTGGGCGCGCCGTTCTCGACCCCGCCGCCTCAGCTCACTCTAGCCCGGCCTCAGCGCATGCTAAGCCGGGGCTTCCCCTCACGCTAGGCCACTGTATTTTTCGTTGTGAAAGTGAAACGACTTTGTTTGGTCTTCCAAAAGAGGACACGACTACAAATCAGTTGTATTTACAACACTGTTCCAGAACAGTTTAACCCAAATATCCAGATGTGTCGAGTGTATTTTATGGAGGACTGTTTACTGATCCTGGGAGAGTAATGTTAGACTAAAATGCCGGCTGTTCTGACTCATAGTCTGTAAGTTCGTTTTCATTTAAAGGATTTGCCACTGATGATTCAAACGCGAGTTTTGAGCAGTGTAGAGTAGCACTTGTTGTTTGTCATTTCTCGGATCACAAATGCAGACAGGGTTTTACGTTTACGCGGCGCGATGCAATGCGTAAAAACACAGTATAAGTCATTATAATCAGTAATTATGTCCCCACTGGATGCAACAAATGCCTCGTTTGTAATGGATTTGAATGTTTTTGTCTCGTCGCTCCGGCCGGGACACGGCATCAACAGTATGTAAGGGGCGTAACATTTCCGTCTCACGCTTGAAATATTCGTTCAATCACAACGCACTGGATAGCTGGCCAATCACCGCACGCCTTGCTTTTTCAGACCGATGAGTTTTGTAAAAATCTACGCATTTCAGAAAGGCGGGGCATAGATGAGAAACAATAATGTACAGTATGTGGAAAATAATGTGTTTTTTAAACTTTAAACCGCATAAACACATTTCATTACACCAAATATACAAAATAATGTTCTTTTTAGCAGCATCATATGACCCCTTTAATTCATAATTCAGATAATCAAGAGATTATTTGCTTTAACTTATATTTGGGTTATTGTGATGCTCATCGTATGTCATCATGATTTTGTTCCTCATATTTAGTTTTGGTGGCTTAGCTGCATGATTATATCGGTATATGAAGCTTTGGCTACGATGTTTATTCCTGCATCGTGATTTATAGGTTATACATTGCTCAATTTCCAAGAAAGTTCACAGCCAATTGGGCATTTACTTTGCTGCAAGTGTTAATTTTGCGTCCTGCCTCAGACATTTTGTACTTTTTCTGCAGAACAGTTGCCCTGGAAGAAACAGAAGCTCCTGGACATCCATCAGGCCCTGAACAGTGACCCCGTGGACATCGAGACCCTGCGGTGGGCGGCTGTGAGCGAAGGAGGTTTGCTGACGGATGGCATCAGAAGAAAAGTTTGGCCCACACTCCTCAGTATCAATGTGTACAATCTACCTGCCAAACCCTGTAAGTATGTGTTTGGGCGTGTGGAACGTACCACAATAACGTCAGTGTTTAAAAAAAAAAAACTTTTTCTTATTTCCCTCATTTAAAGCCAAAGATGTCCGAGAAGACCACAAAGACTACAGACAGGTGGTGCTTGATGTCAGGAGATCAATGCGGCGTTTCCCGAAAGGTCAGTATCTGATAAATGAGTCAAAGAACATGACACACCATCACATGATTTGATCCAGTCACTCTGGACTGTTTTGAGACATACTTCCAATCAGGACTGTCAGCCTTTATAAATGTTAATGTCCAGTATGCCATAAAATTTGACATCCAAAATGTGAAAAATTTGATTGACGAAAAAAAAAAAAAAATGTCGTTGTAAATTGCATGACATTTTTAAAAGTAAATAAATACAATAAGTTTAAAATAAGTCAATAGCTTCTTCCATTTTGTTTTTCAATAACATTTTAATTAGAGCCCGACCGATATGGGTTTTTTGGGGTCGATACCGATATTAGGGAGTAAAAAAAGGCTGATATCGATATATCGGCCGATATTCTTTGTGTATATTATAGTACAGTACCAGTCAAAAGTTTGGACACTTTCCCATTCGTGTGTCCAAACATTTGACTGGTACTATATATAGAATACAGTATATACATAAACAGAATATATATACATAAACACATTTTTTGCAATGATCACTCAAATGTGGTGATCAAACACTTATAATGACGTGACAGAGATACGTAATGGAGGCAGGGCATTTAACAATTTAACAATAAACTTTATTATGAACAAGAGACCTCCTTACTGAAGTGAAAGTGTTTGCTGGTGTCACTGTCTCGCGAATGCACAATTTAACCACCCGCAACTCCTGAACCCAGGGGCTATCGACGCGGGGGTGGTCTCATTTGAAAGAGACGTACACTCGATTTGCGTTCGACAGGGTTCCTCGAGCTGAAGGGATCCCCCGAATTTGGTGCGGATTCGCCGCGCCTTTACAGAGATATGGCTGTTCAAAGTTTCAGTGGTTTTCCATAGACATAAGCTTTAAAGCGTTTCATCCAGGTCGCCAGTAGCAAACAATAGAGAAAAACTAAGTTTTCTGCTTGAAAAACTAAGTAATTACACCATTTCAAGCATTTTATCTGCGTTATATGTTCTGTAAAAATTTTTTTGATATCGGCGGCATATTCGCTGATACCGATATATCGGCGACAGGCTCATATCGGCCGATAATATCGGCTAAACGATATATCGCTTTGGCTCTAATTTTAATAACCTGGATAACACTAATATTTTAACTTGAGATCATATTATCAGTAGAACATAACAATTTGAATGCAAGTTAGTGATTAATATTTCTAATCAATTTTGTGTAAATCTTGATGTACCGTATACTGTAGAAGTTGACATCTAAAATATTAAAAATTTGATTTCACAGAATTGTTTTAATTTAATTTTAAAATAAATAAACAAAAAAAAAGGTCAGCCAATTTCCTTGGCAGATTGTATTATCAGTATGCATTTTTGATTAATTTATTGATTAGTGAGTTAGTGAAATATTTACAGCATACATTTACATTTATTAATTTAGCAGGCGCTTTTATCCAAACCAACTTAAAAATTAGTAATGCAACAAATCAATTAATCTTAAGGAGGCAGCAACACAAGATGTACTAAAATACAAAGTTTCAAATGTTGTCTAGAACAGGGAGGGAAAATAAGATATTAAAGTATCTTTTTTTAAATGAATTTTGTTGTATTTCTTTGTTTCGCATTGTTTTTAACCCTTAAATGTTCTGTATTTCCAGAGTTAAATTAGACTTTTAATTCCAGATTTTCAATGTAAACTTGTGACCTTTTGACCTTCGAATATTCAGATATTCCTCTTGATATATAAATATTTGCTTATATAACCACCAGTTATATAAGATTTTAGAGATATACTATGCTTAAGATTTTTATTTATTATTCATTTTTTTTGCTTTAAATCCTAAAATGTTCTATATTTCAAGGTTTAAATTGGATTTTTTTTTATTAATCACTGTGGTCTCAGATTTTTGGACCTCACTGAGAATATCTCAATGTTCTTCTTGATAGAAATGTTTGCTTGTATAATCACCACTCTTTCCAGTGTCCTTCGGGACATTCCCTCACTGAATTCAGAACAATGCATTGATTGTGTGTCATCTATCCCAACACAAATACCTTGATCTTCCCATGTGATATTTGGACCGTTGAGTTTTAAAGCTGCAATAATCAGGGCAATTTTTACACATAATGTCTACCGGGTGTGTTTGGTCCTACTATAATGGAATAATTCATTTTCATCTGCCATGCTTTTTTTAAAGTAATATGTTTGTTTTTATGGTGATGTAATTGTTCTCAGGCATGCGTGTGGACGAGCGAGAGGTTCTCCAGGAGCAGCTGATCGACATCATTCTGGATGTTTTGAGGAGAAATCCTCAGCTGCACTATTACCAGGGTTATCATGACATCGTGGTGACCTTCCTGCTGGTGGTGGGAGAGAGGATGACCATCGGAATCATGGAGAAGCTGTCCAATCATCATCTCAGGTGAATTAACCTGAACTTATGTTCTTCCCCACCTAATTCTGAGTGTTATGCATTGCTTCTTGCACCAAAAGAGAGTTTAGTTTCATATGACCGTTTCCCCCAAATTAATATTTTAAGATTATAAATAAAAAACTAAGATTATAAATAAAAAACTGATAGTGTATGACCATCAACTTTAACATTTCTGCATTTGACAAGCGCAGTGACTCACATTACAGTGACATTTTTATCAGTTGCATTCCCTGGGAATCGAATCCATGACCTTGTAGTTGCTGAGCTACAAAAATTGCTTCTTTTTGTTTTACTCTGATGTTGGCAAGTATTCTTATCTGTTTTATTCTGCTGGGAACTGCAGGGATTTCATGGACCCCACCATGGACAGCACAAAGCACATCCTGAACTACCTGATGCCCATTCTGGAGCAAGTGGACCGAGAGTTACATGACTTTATGATAAGGTAGACTGCTGACTAGTGATTATCTATGATTGATCAACATTATTAGGCGCATATTCTAGACTACTACAGTTTTTCCAGAGATTAAACACTAAGGTAGTTCTGGCTCTAAATTGATTGGTTCAGGCATGTTTGAAGCTGTTGTAAGTAACTGATGATTCAAACGCGAGTATTAAGCAGTGTAGAGTAGCGCTTGTTGTTTGTTGTTCCTCCGATCACAAATGCAGACATGGCTTTATGTTTACGGTATGCAACACAACACGTAAAATGACAGTATAAGTCATTATAATCAGTGATTATGTCCCCACTGGGTGCAACAAATGCCTCGTTTGTAATGGGTTTTATTGGTGTTGTCTCATCGCACCAGGACACGGCATCACAGTATGGTAAGGGGTGTAACATTTCCGTCACACGCTTGAGGCATTCGGCCAATCAAAATGCACTGGATAGCTGGCCAATCAGAGCGCACCTCGCTTTTCAGACCGATGAGCTTTGTAAAAATCAACGAGTTTCAGAAAGGCAGGGCATAGAGGAGAAACAATAATGTACAATATGTGGAAAATGTGTTTTTTGAACCTTAAACTGCATAAACACATTGCATTACACCAAATACACAACATAATGTTCTTTTTAGCAACGTCATATGACCCCTTTAATAAACGTCTCTGTCCTGAAGAGAGCAGCAGAGGGCATCTTTAAATGACTAGACAGAGTCATGAAATAGCGTCGCCTGTTAACAGGTTTATCTTCTACTGTTATACACTGTCTGTGACTATAAAAGCTGCTGAAATCTGTGATGTGGATCTTGAATGTCTGTACGTTTGCTGCCAGTAGATGGTAGCTGTTTACACTGAAACAGATGAGAGAAGGGAAGTAGCAGCGTGTAGTGGATGTACGGTTCACTTCACCTCTGTCAGTTCAAAACTGATCTCCCTGCAAGGACACACGCATACACACACACACACACACATACACACACATACACACACAGGAGCTTTATTAAATATTCTCATGGGAGACTGATTTGTGTGTGGTCCTTCACCAAAGGCACTGTCACAGGGCTCAACAGGAAGGATTTGTTCTTCCCTGATTTTTACATCCCTGACCAACATTTTTACTCTAAAGTTTTTATTTTTCATCTGCATTATTAATAAGTGTCAAAAAAATGGTATATATAATAAATCAAAAATATATTTCTGTATAATAAATGAAAAAATTTAACTTAAAATATACTGTATATATAATATATTTTAAAATTAATTATTAAAATGCTATTAATATTCTTAAAAAAATACGCCAAAATATTTACAACAAATAATTACTTTCAGTAAATAGAAAACATCTGATTTAAATTAATGGACAGAATTACTGAGTTTTTGGAAGGTTAATTACATTTTGCTTAATTTTCTTTCCACTGTAGTAAATAATTAAATAATTTGTTAATTTTAAGACTTATTAGTAAACCTATATGCATATTGTTTAGTCAATTGATTTGCCTGTTCTCTGGAATTTAAGGTGTAATCTTTTCATTTTGATATTATTTATTTATTTATTTTTGATTATATAATTTAGATATTTATTTATTTTTTGTTTGTTACTGTTATAGTGTTTTTTTGAGGCTTTATTGTAATAAATGAGAAATAATAGTAATTATGTTTATAATTTGCATGGAAATGTTTGCAGATAAATCCCAAATGGAATGAGACCGTCAAGGAAAAAACAGCTATATAAATCATGTCTTGTGATGGTGGTGTAAGCTGATGGATACAACGGGGTACAGAAGGCCACACGGTGTTATAGAATCTCACAGATGTATAGTACAAAATGTTCATTTTTAATTTTTTTTATGAAATTCATTCTAATTTTAGCTGATGGTTCCAAGACTGTTAAGTCATTCTTGCAATTTTGATAAGGAATGAGACCGTCAAGGAAAAAACAGCTATATAAATCATGTCTTGTGATGGTGGTGTAAGCTGATGGATACAACGGGGTACAGAAGGCCACACGGTGTTATAGAATCTCACAGATGTATAGTACAAAATGTTCATTTTTTAATTTTTTTTATGAAATTCATTCTAATTTTAGCTGATGGTTCCAAGACTGTTAAGTCATTCTTGCAATTTCGATAAATCCTACATTCAGCTAAAATAGCTAGATAACATGCATATTTACATCAGCAGAAATGGCTAAATCTCACAGAAAACAAAATATTGAGGTTTGCATAAAAATGCTGGTGGATGGTATAGAAATAAGGTCGTATGAATGTAAGCACTGGGCTGAAACTCACATACTGATCCTCGATATCATTCGTCCTGTGTCAGACGGTTAAAAAAGCTTGCATATTGCCCACATGTGGCTTAAAGGCAGACCATGTAAGATTTTTTAATTAAAATATCTAAAAACCACTAGAACAGTGTTATATATTTTGCTGACTTGTGTACTTACATTAATCCAAATGTTTCGAAGAATGTCTAAATCCAGAGAAATAAGCAATTTTAACTAGTGACACGGACCGTGTCTATAGTGTCATTGTGTCGCCTGCCAATGACGTCATAACCCCTCGATTTCGATTTTTGTATTTCGATTTTCGACGTTAATAAATCATTAATACATTAGCTCGTCCATGAACATGATTTCTACCCAAGTCCCATCAGATTGCATTGGCTGTGGGGATGAAGACAACAACTCCCATGATTCCACACTCAGTCACAGCGTCATCTAATTATGACTTTGTCTCTTTGTTTGTTTTGAATAAACTAAGTTAAAACCTGATGCTTAAGGTTGCATGCTTACTTGCTATGCGACCATCTTGTTTATGTGAAAATCGTTTGGTGTGGCAAGCCAACACATTTGGGACATCAAAAATGTGTGTCGACTTGCGTGCGTGTGTATGTGCAAGTATTCACATAAACCTGTGGCTCTGCATTGCATCCGGCTCTCGTTTGTAAAAGCAGGTTATTTTTAATGGCGACTCATCTAAAATGTAGAGAATAAGAGGTTCTTCATCAATATTGCATGCGTGTGTCTCGCCGCAGCCCTGGTCCACAGGTTTAATGGTGTTGCTCACTCAGGTGCTTTTGCTTTTATCAATCTTTCCATACAAGTTAATAAAACCCCAGAACTTTTAAAAAGCCCATGGGCAGATGGAACGGCCTAAAAAATAAATGTTATTTTCCTGTTTGTGTTTGGGCATCAGTCGCTCTGTACAGAAAAGCATTTACTGAGCTCTTAATAATTTTGCACGATATTGGGAAAAACTGACATTGCGATATTTAGTTTTTCTGCAATTTGAAAAATACAAGAATGGTCAACAGATGACTTGAATAGCTATATTTGCAAAGAATTAATAATTTTAGCGTTAGTGTGGTAATTTTGTTGCGGAGTGCATGTGCATAGGAAAAAAATATATATATTTTTTTAAAGTAATTTTTTTGTCTGAAGATTCATTCATTCATTAGAAAAAAAAAATTTTTGTTCTTTTTTTTGGGTTTAATTTTAACAGTGAAAAAAACAATAGAAATTTACAATAAAATTTACAAAATTTAATGTATATCTTTCCACTTTATTTTCAGTTTTCCTTTCCGATTTTCATTAACTAAATTCCTGCTGTTTTTGACCAATTCAATGACCGTAAAATAAAAATAATTGTCATGATTTATTATTATATAATTTATTATTTTATTGTGATTATTATAAAAAGACAAATATTAAAATAAGTTGTATAAAAATGTTGTAAAATAAAGAATTGCGTAATAAAAATTAATTTTACAGTAAAATCACAATTCTAATATTTCCATCTAAAAGCATTGAGAAGCATTTCAAAAGAGAAGTTTCTCTGTGGTTTTCCACCAAAATAAAAGCTCTATGGTTTAAATGTTTGAAAGCCAAAAAAAAGTAAACATAAATATTAGTCTTGTAATTTTACAGTTGTTATATAATAATAATATGTAAAAATTATTATGAAATACTTTGCAGTTCAATAGTATAGTGATATTTCTTTGATTTAATTTTTATAATTTGATGAAATGATGATAATAATATATTAATTATAATAATAACTACAATTAGATGTTTTTTTTTTTTTAAGGAAGTAATGCACATACAGTTTCATGGCTGACAAAAAAAAAAAATCTATGGCAGTAAATTTTTTCAAGTCCATTGGTAGGTGTGGCATAATATTAGTTTTAGGCCCTGGCCATATCGCTGTATCAATTTAATTTAAATATCTCATGCAGCCCTTATACAAAGAGTTTTTGCTCTTGTCTTACATGTACTCGTGACCTTGCAGCACATTTACAGGTTGGAGAAAAGGCCTACAACAGCATTAAATTGCTCGCGTGGAATATCAGTGACATCAGTGACGGTGATTAATGAAAGTGTCAGACATGTGTTCCTGTGTTTTGCACATGCTAAATGCTTCAGTGGGTTTTTAGAGGAGTTTCAGGAGAATTCTCTCTGTTTGAATGTCGATTTCACAGATTATAGGCTCTTTCAAAGGTTATGATGCCATTGAGTGTGTTTACTTATGCTGGATACATACTCTACATGACGCACGCAAGTGCGGCGCCATGTTATACATGCTTAATGCTAGTATTTATGCTTCTGTAACGGTCACAAACCTCAGTTACTGGGGCTGATTGAAGAGTTACTTTCAAATATACGCATGTGATCTGAAACAGGATTTTTATAGTTAACTAGAACCTTAAAAAAAAATCTAATTGACATTCATTACTTGAAATAAAATAACTGAAATAAAAAAACATTTACTTTAAATTATTTTATTTCAACTATTTGCCAAACTTTTCTCATTTTCATTGTTTAACTTGATGTACTAAAATAAGTAAAACTAAAACTGAAATAAAAATTTATAAAAAACATATATGCATAGACAAAAAGTAACCTAAAATTACTAAAACTTTAAGAAAAATGTAATCATAAAATTGCTAAGTTTGATGAATAAACTGCTAATTAATTAAATAAAATTACTAATAGATTAATTATTACTAATAAAATTACTAATATATTAATGTACTAATTATCAATAAATTAAATAAAAATACTAATAAATGTATGCATTACTAATAGATTAATGAATAAATTGATAATAAATTAAATATAATTACTAATAGATTAATACATCACTAATAAAATTACTAATAGATTAATAAATGCTGTAAAACACATTGCGCATTGTTAGTTCATGTTGGCTAATGCATTTACTAATGTTAACAAATGAGATTTAATACCGATTGTCTTTGTGTTGCAGGTCTGAGGTGGGCACCATCTTCGCCCTGAGCTGGCTGATCACATGGTACGGTTACGTGCTGTCAGATTTCCGGCATGTTCTGCGGCTCTATGATTTCTTCCTGGCGTCTCACCCACTCATGGCCATCTACTTCGCCGCTGTGGTAAGGAGGAGTGTCTCTCTGCCATCTGTACTTTAGTCGCTCCATCTCCAGCCTCTCAGGAAAGTCGAGGCAGTGCTGCGTTATGACCTTTTCAGTGTTTGTGCGAGAGAAGGGCTGAAGTGTCTTTAAAACTATTTTTAACTTGACTGGGCACCCTTAAAACACAACACTCCTGCCACAACATGCTGAAAAAGCCACTTTCACATTTAAATTGAACCATAATAAAACCATATCTGCTGTTCACACTAGCATCAGCTTTTCGTCGTCTTGCTGTTAAGATACCATCACACATCAGCACCAAAACACTGCTAAACTCCATGAGTCATAGCAAATGACCTTTAAATGCTGCGCCATTCTCTTCATCTGCCTGGATTTGGAGAAACGCTTTAGTTTCATTAGTCCACTTTGACAACATTGACTTCCAAGTCAAAAGAAAGACAAGCGCAAGGCACACCAAGCACGGTTCTTTTAAAACTGCACAGTGTCAAGATGAGCATCACATTTAAAAAAAACCGCAAGACTGAGTATTCATTTATTTCATTTATTGAGTAATTTTACCACTTCAACTTCTAATTTTATGTTAGTTTTTCATCTAATATATTATTATTATTATATTTAACAATACATAATAAATATGATAATATGATTGATAGTTTATTTTTTTTTTTTATATTTCAGTTTAGTATTCATTTATATTTATTTCAGTTTGTCATTTTTGTTCTTCAACTTATTACAGACAGATGCCAAGGCAACATTTCATTTGATTTCATTTAAAGTTTTTTTTAACGTTACAGTAAATGATAATATCAATAATAATAATGATATTATTGATTATTATTTAAATATTTCTATTCAGATTCCATTTGTTTTCGTATTAAATAATAATAATAATTATACATTACATTATTCTTCATCTATTTATTATTAAAATTTAAATATTTATTATTAATATTATTATATTTTGATTATTATATTTCCGTTTTAGTCCTTGTAATACTTCAACTTCAACTTATTTCACTTAGTTGCAAATGCAACATTTCTAATTTTCATTTAAGTTCAATTTTTTCATCTAATATTTACATTTTATTTTGTTTCAGCTTTATTTGAATTACTGAAAATTATTTTTAGTTTTAGTTAACAATAACAGCATTGGTCTTTACTGGTAAAATTACACCTTCTCATCAAATTGCCAGAGCTGATTTACTTGTTTACATCTGATCTCTTAACAGGTAACTTATAAAATAATTAAATACAATTAATTAATTATTTTTTAATTAATTAATTAAAGGCTGTGGGTGTCCATCTGACACATATAACATTAACAGAATGTCTCTATCCTCATGAATAGCGCTCTTTTGCAGAGAACAATAGTTTATACTTTTCCTGTGATTACAGTGTTTGAAAATGCAGGCAGTAATGAGAGTACAGAGCAATGCTCCATGTCGTATAACCCCTCAGACTATACACAAGCTTTTGTAATCTAAAAGAGGATGTTGTTTACCATGTTTTGTCTCCGTGTTTGTTAATTCACTTATTTAGGCGAAAGCTAATTCATCCGCACAACAACAACAAACGTGGCTCCAAAGAGAGGCAAAGAATTTTCTTTATTTTTCCACTCCCTCCTCGTCTGATGCGAGAATCAAGGGCACTTTGTTGTAACGGGAACAGTTAATTAAACAACTCTAATGAATTCACCAGAGGTTTGTGCTGGAATCTTTTAAACGCGCCTCTTTCTTCTGTCTCCACGAGCCGCTCCCCTGCTAGAGACAACAGCGAAAGCAAAGGGGGCCAGCGGCCGTTTGAAGTCAGGATAAGAAAGCCAGCAGGAAATGTAGTTCATCCTGCTTCTTAGGTAGGGGATGTGCTGGGCTTCGGTGCACTCGCGCACTGCTGGACGTGACCCAGCTCGGCTCTGAAGCAGAAACGGGACTGCTCTTATTTGACCTGTGCTGGGATGGATAGTAGAGACCCATGCTAGAGTATCTAATCCATAGTGAACATCTGTGAACTCTGGTGTATTTTATGGTTAGACCTTACAGGCAGCCTCATTGCTGTTTGCTTATACTGTAAGTGAAGGAAACGGTTTAGTTTTGCTAAGCCTTGCACATCCAAGCATAAGTTCTGGTCAAAGATACAGTAAATAATGCACAAATCTGTACATAAATCTTCTGTTCCAGATGCATACCGCATTATTATTATTATTTTAATTTTTTTTTGTTCCTTAGTCTTACTTATTTAAATGTTCTTTCTGTTGTCAATGTCATATATGTATGTATGTTTGTACCAAGAGTTCCTAAAGCTCCTAAGAACACAACAAATTCCTTGTGTGTTTGCACACAGTTGGAGAATAAAGCTCATTCTGATTCTGATTCTGAAGATGCATCTTATTCTGACCAAGAATCACCCACTTAGACCTGACGAGACCATATGAGTAACATCTAACATGACCAACCATAGTTATTTTTTTTCTATGTGATGTTTACAAAGAAATCATTTACATGTTTTACAGACTTATCTTTGAAAATGCATCTTGAATTATGATTGCCATTGGCATTTTTTTTTTTTTTTGCTTAAAACAAGAAAAAATAAACTAAATTCATTTAAACTGAATTATATAACAATTAAATTTAGCAGAAATGGGGTTCAACATACAGATCCCTTGTGTTTTTTTTTCCAAAATGTAATTTACAGTTAATATTTTTTGTGTATTATAATTTAGTTACTATATTATAGTAATTTACAATCACAAATTTTAAATTGCATTTATAATTATTAAAAATTTAAATTGTCTTAACCCTAAAAATATAATAGTTATATGAAGCAAAGTTTAAATATATAATATATACAGTATATAACAATAATATTATAGAAATATATAGACTTGGTTTTCAGATAATATATATTGAATTAAGATTAAGAATTACATTTGTATTATTTTTGTTATTTTATAGTATCTTTAAATATTTTGTATTTAAATATAAATGTAAAAATAAAATGTATAATAAAAAAAAAAAAAAAAAACAATATATATATATTGTTTTTTTTTTTTTTTTTTAAAAAATATTGTTTTAAAAAAAAAAAAAAAAAAAAAAAACAATATATATATATATATATACATACAATTTAAAGTATAAATTGAACAGAATGACTCATTTTGATGCTTAAAACAAAAACAAAAAAACAATTTGAAGACTGTAAAAACCAAATAAATAAGGCAGAAATAGGGGTTCAGCACAAAGTTTCGGCTAATTTCTTTAGCACTTTAGGTTTTCTTTGATTTCTTGTTATAACAGTGATATAACAGTGAAATATATTGTTCTGCTCATGGATATCTAGTATACATGCTACCTAGTGAATACAAATTTATTATAGGCCTAATTTTTTTTTTTTTAATTATAAACCTCACAAAATGTCTACTTCAATGACTTTCTCTTCCTCAGAAGTGTCATTTTAACATTTTTAACATGACTTTTGTGTCCTAGTGGACTGATATAGTTACATAAATCCAGTCAATCAGGTTGAATTGTAATTTTTTTGTGCAGTATGCATCAGACGGTCAGTGAACGGACTGTGGGCGGCCCGTCTGACGCCGAGACTAACAGACCTGTGTCTCTCTGTCTCTCTTGTCAGACTGTGTCTGTACAGACAGAAGGAAGTAAAGAGCAGCGAGTGTGATATGGCCAGCGTTCATCACCTGCTGTCTCAGATGCCTCAGGATCTGCCGTACGAGGAGCTGATTGGTCGAGCTCAGAGCCTGTTCATCAGCTGCCCGCCCTCTCTGCTGACCCAGTCTGCAGCGCTGCAGCTACACAACATGTGAGACTTACATCTGCTCACACGCACTTGTACAAAGGTTTTTACCTCTTCAGTGAAGCATAAGTAAATAAGATACTTCTAAAGTACCTATAACTTTCTTACTTAATCGTTCAGCCCTTATACTACTATTAGAATTTTCAACAAATAACCAATATGGCAAATTGCAAAGGCTGTGATTTAATAATAATAATAATTTAATAATAATTTATGCATTTAGCAGACGCTTTTATCCAAAGTGACTTACAGTGCATTCAAGCTATACATTTTTTACCAGTATCTGTGTTCCCTGGGAATTGAACCCACGACCTTTTGCGCTGCTAACGCAATGCTCTACCACTGAGCCACAGGAACATTTATTATGAATTTATTATGCACTGCATGTTTCAGAGTGAAGTGCTGCAGTGTGTTCATTTACACATGAGCAGCTCATGATCTGGTGTTTTTAGGATCTCAGAGCAATTAGTTTCACAGTAAATGCTCCACATAAACTCCATCTCTGCGACTATTGTGACTTTGGGTCACTTATAACATGCATTTGGGAACACAACATGCACCAACCATTCCAGATTTGTAATGAGATGGGTTTATAAACTTTGTGCCAACAAAGGAGCTTTAAGAGCTTCCTCCTGTTTTCTGCCAAAAGGTTTAATGTTTGACAATTAAGAAATTAAGACTATTCATTTCTATAATATTGGTATTGTTATTTTATAGCTGTACTGTAAAAAAGAAAAGAAAAGAAGCATTACATACTTGATATTTTTAAGTATAATTTTACAATTATACTCAAAAATCTATTTTTTTATTGTTTTTGTAAAATATTTTATTTTATTGTTTGATATGTTATTAATTTTATGAAATCAATGTTTTGAATTTTTACAGAATATTCTATATATTATACTCTTTATTTAACTGTACAATAGTATTACAATAGTAATATATTTCTTATTTTGTTTGATGTTTAATATTAGTAATAATGATAATAATAGTAATAATAATCATTATTATAATTTTTGTGTAGTCATTGGTATATAATCACAATATGATATATTATATGATATAGTAGTATTTTTATGAAATACAATTTTTTTTATTTTTTTTTAATATTATATTATACTATACTATATATTATACTTTTGATTTTACAGTTCTATAGTATGATTACAATATTAATATCTTATTTTATTTAATATTTTTATAATAATAATATTGTTACTATTATTAGTAGTAGCAGTAGTAGTAGTAGTATTATATTAGTATATAATCGCAATATGATTTTATCTTATCTTATTTTATATTTATTTATTTGTGCCCAATTCTGCACCCCCTTCAAACAAGCTCAGCAAATCTGGAGATCTTTAAAAAAAATTGCGTTTTATTTTGAGTTTTTTTTCCTTTCCAAATCGTTCAGCCCTAAGTAGTATATATATATAATATATAGTTCCAGTGCTGTTATACTGTAGCATACAGTGTACACATGCACATACAGTGCCTTGCGAAAATATTCATACCCCTTCATTTTTTTCACATTTTAAGTTGCTGCCTTATGCTAAACTGCTTTAAATTACTTTTTTCACACATCAGTCTACACTCCATACACCATAATGGTAGCGCAAAACAAATTTTTTTGACATTTTTAACATCTTTAATTTTTGCAAATTTATTAAAAATAAAAAAATTAAATTATTTCATTGCATAAGTATTCATAAGTATCTGGGACAGTTGAAATTTAGCTCAGGAGCATAAACCTACAGAAGGACAGACACCACTGCAACACTCCATCGATTTGGGCTTTATGGCGGTGTGGCAAGCCTCAATCCTCTCCTCAGTGAAGACACATGAAAACACACTTATAATTGGCAAAAAAGCACCTAAAGGACTCTCAGACTGTGAGAAATAATATTCTCTGGTCTGATGAACTTCAATTCCAAGCATCATGTTTGAAGGAAACCAACTCTGCTCATCACCTGCAGAGTACCATCCCAAAAGTAAAGTGTGCTGGTAGCAGCCTCATGCTGAGAGGCTGTTTTTCAGCGGCAGGGACTGAGGGACTCATCAGAGTAGAAGAAAAGCTCAATGCACCAAAATATTGAGATTGCCTTAATGAAAACCCAGTCCAGTGCATTCAGAACCTCAGACTGGGCAGAAGGTTTACCTTCCGACAGGACAATGACCCTAAGCACACAGCAAGAGAGGCTTATAGACAACTCTGTGAATGTCCTTGAGTGGCCCAGACAGAGCCTGAGCTTGAACCCAATCAAATATTTCTGGAGAAACCTGAAAATGTGCATCTGCCCCCATCCAAACTTACAGAGCTTGAAAGGTGAAGAGGTGAGGTGGAGAATGGCAGATAATTGCCAAATGCTAATGAGCAAAGCTTGTTGCATCAAACAAAAAATACTTGAGACTGTAAAGGTGCTTCAGCTAAATATAATACTTATGCAATATATTTATTTCAGTTTTTTATTTTTAATAAATTTACGAAGTTGTGACAATTCTGTTTTTGCTTTTTCCGTATGGTGTATGGAGTGTAGATTGATGTGGGGTGAAAAAAGTAATTTAAAGAAGTTTATCACAACATAACAAAATGTGAAAAAAAAAATGAAGGGGAATGAATACTTTCGCAATGCACTGTACACACACACCTGTCATCTTGTGGGGTGTTTGTTTCTGCCTGTGTCCATCAGGTGGAGCTTTTGAGTATGATATCACTTTCTCTGCACACGGTTAGACTGTTGCACCCCTGTTGTGACGTGAAAGACACTCAGCCGGAGCTGTCTGCATTTCGCCCCTGTGTGTCTAAACACTCGCTGTCAGCCTGCAGATTGCATTTGCAGATGCAGGTAAAGCCACTTTAATGATTTATCTCTTACGGCAGCGGGAAACGATTCCTCCGGCATTCAGCGGGAACTGAATTTGAGTCCATCAGCGCTGAAAAGCCATCAGAGGAGAGATCTGTCTTGTTTAAGATCTCCCCTCATCTGCTGTCGTCTATGAAGATTAAGAGCGAGAGAGACAGAAATGAGAAAAAGAAAGTGACGGAATTGAGAACGAGGGGCAGTGAGAAAGAGAGAGAGACAGAAATGAGAGAGAGACCCTTACAAAGACATTAACACTACAATGAGAGCGAAAGAGCAACAAAGATAGACCGAAAGTGCAAGAATGACTGTCTGCCTGTCTTATGCAAATCAGTCCTGCAATAAGGAAGCTCCTCCTCCCTGGGTTATTAAAGCTCTACCCTGTTTTGCATAACCCCTCCCCCACCAGCATCTGTGGCCTCACTGAAAGCGAAGAACATACGTGTGTGTGTGTGTGTCAGTGAAATGAGCATCCCCTCTTGAGGCCGTGATCCGTAAACTTGATCTCTATTGTTCTGTTTGACCCTGTGGAGTGCTGTAATGAGGAGTGGCACGTCCTCCCTAATGGCTTTGACCCCTAAACGTTCTTCATTAAAACCCCCTGCTCGCCCCCTCAGGCTAACATCCTGGCCTCCGTGTGCATCTGACTTCATAAACGCAGTAATATTATATTATCACCGAGACTGATGCTCTGATCTCTGCGTTTAGCGTTCGTTAGCACTGCCTGTTGCGGATTTGATTAGATCAAATACTAGAGGAGAATTTCAAGCACCCGTGTAGTTTGTGGATCGAGGGTGTTTGTATGTAGATGTTTCCCATAATTGTGACTTTATATTTCACAGTGGTATCTATTTTTCGTTATTGCAACTATATATCTCACAATGCTGACTTTACATCTCCCAATTGTGTTATTTGTTTTGCAATTGTGTCTTTATATCTCCCAATTACGTCTACTGTATTTTTCGTTATTGCAATTTTATATTTCACAATTTCATCTATTTTTCATTATTGCATCTTTGTTTTACAATTGTGGCTTTATATAATAGAATCTCACAGTTGCTTCTATTTTTCTCAGTTGCTACTTTATATCTCTCACAAATGTGTTTATTTTTCGCAACTGCTGTTTTATATCTCTCAATCGCGTCATTTTCGTAATTGTGACTTTATATCTCCCAGTTGCATCTTTCTTCCACAATTGCGACTTTATATCTCAGTCGCTCCTATTTTTCATAATTGCAACTTTATATCTGCCAGTTCTGACTTTATCAGGGTGGCTGCGGATCCTTAAAAAGTCTTAAAATGTCTTAAATAAAGTTTCCTAATAAAAGGCCTTAAAAAGTATTAAATTGTCTTAAATTCAGATTCGGTGGGTCTTAAATATTTTTGGCTACATAACCGCAAACATTTCTCCAGTATGACGGACCCAATGTCTGTTAACAATTATTGGACAGAAGTTTTTTTTTCCCCGCGGTCGTTACTGCGTCAATGGAGAGAGAGATGTCAACTGGCCATAAATCGGAACCTGCTGTATTGCAATAATTTCCCAAAATGTCATTTGTGTGGAAATACTAAGTCTGTAAATGACCGTTAACAGAGGCCAGAGGCGCTGAAGACAGACAGAGGAGAAAATACTACAGCAGGCAAAGCAAGATCATGGTTCACAATGCTCGAAATACAGGAAGAAAAATATACATATTGAATTGGTGGTGATATATGAATGTATCTCTGAAGGGAACTGACTGTCTTCAGAAAAGTTTAGATGGCATTTTCTTTTTCTCTTGCCTCCGTGTTCATAAGCGCAGCGCTGCTTTGGTTACAGCGTTAACCAAGGAAACGCTATATTGCTGCTGTTCCATAAGCGCTTCCTGCTGTCAGAGAGTGAATTTGCATTTTCTTTCAGTCCATATGCTGTTTTTGTTTTGCGCAGTTGTCTTATGTACAACATATAAATTTGCTTAAAGAAAAAAAAATAGGTGATCATCAGAATTGGCCAATTTGCTTGTAAAAAAAAAACGGAATCAGCCATAAAAAAAAATAATGATCGGTGCATTATTTATATATATATATATATAAATATAAATATTATATAATATTGTGAAATATTATTACGATTATAATGTTTTTCTATTTTAATATACATTAAAA